TAAACCCTAAAACCTAACCCTAAAAACCCTAAGCTCCAAACCAAGAAGCCTCCACGATCCGAGTACAACTCTGTACAAATCCCCCACCGAGGCCCTTAAAGTAGTCTGGTAAAAACCGTTAAGGCACGCAGCTAACAGTAAGAGAATGCCAAAAGTAGCCGCGTTCAACTCATTAAAACAGCCTTCTAGAAGCCAGAGCTTTTCAAGTAGTCTTGTAATTGTAGAACCCAAACCCGTTTAATAACGGATATTTAAAACCACAAGCCTAAACCCCAGACCCTTTCAGCTGCCCCGTGTGGAAACGCTCAAAAAAGCCTAGTGGAATCCACGGCTTCGGTCTCGGAGCCATTGGTAAAGTGCCCGGAATGCTGGGCTTTGGGACCTCAGAAAGCGTCCGATCGTCGCAAAAAGGTTTCGGGTTTAGGTTCTTGATCTTTAGGATTGAAGGTGTGGAGTTCAAACGACCCTAAACCCTAAACCCTAAACCCTAAACCCTAAACCCTAAACCGATTTTAAATCGATTTAAGGATTTGGGCTCCAGGGTGCACGGTCGGATGCTTGGGGTTTCTGTGAATTTCTCCGGCCAGTGCCGTCCGACTCCCCGACCGGCAGAACTCCCAGAGCGTCCAACAACTAAAACAACAAAAGATGCCTTGCATCATGAATCCCTACCTACTCTAGGATATGTATATGTATATAGATAGATATATATATATATATATACACATATATATATATATATATACATAGACTATATACATACCTAAGCGTGTTGGGCTCTGCTGTTGCTTTGATGTGGGTCTGGGAACTCCCCCCGCTGCGGAATTACAACAACTCCCCATTCGCTGTAGCCAGATGCCAGGTGTCGAACCATGGGTCCCTCAGGCCTCAAACTTAGAGACTCCAATACCCCTCAATTAAGCGAATATTCCCTTAAATCATATTAGGGATCCTACCATACTTTAAGGTCTATTCCTTAATTAAGGGATATTGGAGTCTCTGGGAAGCTTATCGCGGCAAAAACCGTGAGGTTCTGTCGACTCTTTGGGGTTTGGAGCTGGGTGGAAGAGGCCTCCAGGAGAAAGGCACGCTGCAGCGCCTGGTCCAGCGTGCGCACGGCGTTGTTGGAATCCTGGCACCCAGAGACTCCAATCTCCCTTAATTAAGGAATATACATTAAAGTATAGTAGGATCCCTAATATGATTTAAGGTATATTCCTTAATTAAGGGGTATTGGAGTCTCTCAGCAGTTAGGACAGCTGGGCTCCGGGTGTCGGCAGACTCCAGAGATCAGTCGGGGAGTTGGACTCAGCTTCTGCTTGTATTGAAGGCATTGGGGGCTAGGGGATCCGGTTACTGGATATACCGATCGTTGGCTGTGCCGATCCCTGCGACAAAGCGGTCCATCAGCACCAGCGGCAACTGGCAGCCGAGCGCATGGTCGAGTAGAGCCACCACGCCTAAGTTAAGGCTCAGATCTCTCCCAGCCTCCCACACTATATTCGGGTTCGCGAGATTCCCAAGAAGAATCCGGAGGGGCGTTCGCCGAGTCGTGTTGCAGTCTGAAATCAAGCCCCAGCCGCCCAAGGCATGCAGCAGATGGTCGACGTCCACGGAGCGGACGAAGACTGCCGCCAAGCCCTCTGTGCCGGTGCAGGGCCTCATGCAGTTTTCAGAGGGCTGCCCACACTCTTTCAGACTTTTGGGACCCGCAGGGACAGTGAGCTGCCGGCCAGTTGATCTCGTTGAAAGCCAACGGCGAGCCGATTGGAATCTGCACAGGAGGCGGGTAGGCTCACGAGCACAAACCCAAGAGTCCTTCTCTGCTTCCACACACTGAAGAAGAAGAATAATAATAATAATATGTTGAAGAAAGAAGAGCACTGCCGGAAATCTCACCTCCTGGAGCTCGCCCGTGTCTGCATTCGTTGTCAGGCGGCGAGAGTTGCACTCCTTACCAAAACTCAGCGCAGGGAAGAGGCGCTGTAGGCCAGGGTTACTTGTGGGTGTGGCTAAACCCTAAACCCTAAACCCTGTGCTGAGGTTTTAGGGTTTAGGGGCCACATCGCACACCGGGCTTCGATCAGGCGCTCGATCGTGACCAATGCAGAGGATCGTCCGTTGAGAAGCTCGCCCTGCACAGAGACTCCAATACCCCCCAATTAAGGAATATACATTAAATTATATCAAATTAGGGATCCTTCTATACTTTAAGGTATTTTCCCTTTACGAAAGACCATAGCTTAAAGTATTGGGGGGGCTGGGACCCCAGACTTTTCCGGCTGCGCCTTGTGGTTGATGTTGAACTCCGTCTTCGCCATGTAGCCACTGGGCCAAATGAACCTGGCGAGGATGGCCCGTCAAATCCCTAAACCATGAAGCCAAAACTCTAAAACCCTAAGCCCCAAACCCCAAAACCCTAAAACATGAACCCCCAAACTCTTAAACCCTAGAGGTCTTTCAACTCTTCGGCTCACTGCGGCTCCGGGAGCTGGACTATTGCGAGGGGCCACGACACCAACCCAAAGAGACCTCCGACGGCTCGCAGGTTCCGAGGATGCTTCGGAAAGGACCGGAAGCCTCGCGCTACACCCCAAACTCGAAAGTCCCGAACCTGAAGGCCTAAACCCTAACGAGCCCAAACGTAGATTCGACAGTCCTACCCCTAAACCCTACAGTCCTAATGGTTCCCTGAATTCCTCCACGGCCCTAAACCCAACAATCTGAAATCGTAAGCCCTGAACACCCTAGTGTAGGAACCTGATTAGGGCACCTTGGTCACTATATTCCCCAAAATATTAGGATCCATATAAGGAACCCTAATAAAGACCCAAGGTGTCTTAATCAGGTTCCTATGTTCAACCCAAAAGTCCTACCCTAAACCCTAAACCCTAAACCCTAAACCCTAAACCCTAAACCCTAAACCCTCAGATCCTTCCCGGAGTTGACGAGGCACGCATCGGAGAGGTCCAACTTCGAGCGGTCCCAGACGAGGCCTGCACAGCTGGTGCCTGGGCTCCAAAAGGGAGGGGCGGTGCCGGGATTTCGAAGCCTTCCTCTTATAAGCGCTCCTAGAACACTATAAGGGTTCCTTGTTCCTTTCAGGGTGTCAGAAGCTTCAGAGGGCTCTTTCAAAATGCTACCAGGGACTTTCATCTGCCGAACACGCTGCAGCTATCCGATCGATCCCGGCTGACGCGACATTAGCGGGTCAGGAACACTCACGCGGGATCTGAAAGCACGGGGCCTTCCTTGACTGTCTTTTTCTGCACACTGGGATTGAGAACTTTGCGACGTTTCGGCCTTGGGGTTTGAAGTTCTGGGGATCCGCATGGGGCCCCTGAAAGACTCTACAAGCCAACAATTGCAGAAGGTTAGTAAGGATTGACCCTGAAACCTACACCAGTCCATGCCGTGCCTCAAGACTTGAGAAAAGTGCGATTGGGCCCAAGTGGTAACTGCATGCAGACGGGTTGCATTTTTCTCCAAACAGCCGCATGCCGACACCTGCAAAGAATCCATGTCTCGCATCCGCAGCCCTATCCGACTCACGAACCCGGTGCCCACCAGTCTAAGCCGGCTCGACGCGAACAGAAGCACCCTGCAAGTCCAACATCACTGAAAACATCGATCCCAGAACGACCCATGGGCCAAACCTCAAAACTTAAATCTACTGCTTGAGGTTACGGTTTGGGGAGGTTCGTGGGGGGGCTGGATTCCGAAACGCCTCCTTACCAGCTCGAAAGCCCCGATCCTTCCAAAAGTAGACCCTAAACCGCGCGGAAAGCTTGCTTTTTGGCCACTATATAATATATAATCCAAAAGAGGGATTTGGGGTTCCAAGGCCCTACAACCCTACAACCCCCAACCTTTAAGGCTAAACCCTAAACCCTAAACCCGAAATCAAGGGCACTTTGGAGGGTTTGGTGTTTAAACCCTAAACCCTAAACCCTAAACCCTAAACCCTAAAAATTCTAAAAACCCTAAACCCTAAAAACCCTAAACCCTAAACCCTAAAAACCCTAAACCCGTCCGTCCGACCTCCGGGCGGCGGCAGGGATGCCGAGGTCCGGAAGTTGCCCGCACGGAGGTTCGAGATCAGCTCCAGCCTCGACTTTTAGGAGCCTTAGGGCCTTCGTTCGGGCTTTAGAGTTTAGAGCCTGAGGGCTTTTAGGGTTTAGGGCCTTCGGGATTTAAGGTTTAGGGTTTAGGGTTTAGGGTTTAGGGCCTTAGGGCCTTAGGGATTTTAGGGTTTAGGGGCTTCGGGCTTAGGGTTTAGGGTTTAGGGTAGGGTTGAGGGCCTTCGGGTTTTGGGCCTTAGGTTTTAGGTTTTAGGATTTAGCGTTACGGTTCACCGGAGACCCCCCAAAAAAGACCCGGGTTTGGTTTTTGAAAAATTGAACAGGGGGGTCTGGGTTTAGGGTTTAGGGTTGCCGGGATTGGGTCTGCCGGCTCTCTCTTTTTGGGTCGGGTGTTGTGCGTTTGGGGGTGTTGGAATTAAAACTGCAAGGCCTCTTGGCGTCTTAGTTTTGAGGGTTTTGGGCTTAGCTTCGTCGGCTTTAGGTTTCGTGTTGTCCAGGGCATCAGGTTTGGGGATGCGAAGTTGCTTGGGGATTCCGGTTTTCGTGCGAAGCTTTGGATCCTTACGGGCTCTAAACCCTAAACCCTAAACCCCTAAACCCTAAACCCTAAGCCCTAAGCCCTAAACTTTAAACCCTAAACCCTCAATCCTAATCTGCTCCCCGAGGTCCTGGCCAATCCGTGTTCCGCACAGTTTTGACCATGGCCTTTTGCTCGTCGAAGAGGTCCTTGTGCACTTCACACAGAGCTCGAGGCTTTAAGCGGCTTAACGGCTTTCAGAGTCTTGGGAAGCGCGGCTCGACAGAGGCTGCACACGAAAGGGAATGCCTTTGCAACAATCACACCAGACCAGCGCCCCCTTGTCGTGGGAGTGGCGCAGCTACGAGCTGCACGGAGAAGCTCAAGACTCGACTTGGGTGAAGAGCGCAAAGCTATGCCTTCTGCCCAACCGTGGCAAAATTGAACTGCCAATACTTGTGGTCATAATCATAATCTGGGCATAACAGGCCAAAGCTCACGAAACTTGTCGTCGGCAGCATCCTGCGCAGTGATGTCGAACTGCCTCGGCCAAAATCAAGGATCATGCGGCAAACTTGAAATGCATGCAGCATGCATCTCCTCGAACACACATCGCCTCTATTCTCGGACCATTTCGGAAGCAAACAAAAACCGAAACGTCTGGATTCGATTGCTGCGAAGCTGCTGAGTGGGCGCAGGTGTTGCGAATGCAGGGACGGCAGTGACAAGCATCGCCATGATGTCAACGGCGTATGTACAACTTCGCTCGAAGGCTCCTAAACACCTACACACACATGAACACAATGGGTGCAGACCGTCAAAGGGCAAATGAGCGGATGTACAACAGGTGCAACGTCTGGAGGCAATCATTCAATTCTCATGCATCTGCATGCGGCTAAACATCTTCACCCACCTGTCTTGCATTTGCCTCAAGACGGAACACGAAAAGCTGCAGGGATACAAAAATACACGCACACTCACACTCACACGCCAAAAAAACGCAAAAACGCGGCAATTGTGCAACACCTCTTGATTCCCTGAACAGTCGATGATCTGATTGCACCGTCTCCAGCCAGTGGATCTGCGCGCGCCCTGAGAGCACGAGCAGTGCATCCACGCCTGGCTTCCACCGTGCGGCCTGCTTGAAAGCGTGGATCTTTGAGATCGTCTGGTCGACGTCGAAGTACACATGTTTTGAGCTTCCCTGCGTTCTCTCCACACTACCGCTGGCAGCTTGTTTCTGTCTTGTTGAGCCGGACTGTCTTTTAGAAGCAAATCAGCAACAACCAACACAAGGAGCCGCAATCAGCCCCTGCCAACAAAGATTGACTGTCACGATGACATGAACACGTGACTGTGCCTGTAATGAGTCAGGCAGATCCCCTGTAGTCCGCTGCAGCCAGCAAGAAGGCAGAGGGGCAGAGCCCAGAAGTTCTGACAGTCTTTCCGACGCGGGTCAAACGAACACTGTACTGTTCTAACCTGTCTCGGGCACGCATGCGGACCGAAAGTTAGCATCCCGTGTAACGCTTCTGGCACAGGAAGCATAGAAAAGCAAACAGTTAAACACTGAACCTGGCCAAACTCCTAGTGATTGCTTCTGGATGGGCAGGCGCAACTCACTGTAACCATGTTGCTTCCGGTTCGACCGGTCACACAAACATGAGGCTGCGACAACCTTGAAATAAATTGAAACTCCACATGGTAGGGTCAAACTACCCAGGTTACCTCTTGCTGCTTGGCAGCATGAGAGGGCCTCCACTCACTCTCGAACTCGGACTCCGCTGCCTTCGCGAAGTCGAATCCCACCACATTGCCGGCCACGTCGCGCAGACGACCTATGACATGAACATGTCCATCTTTCCAGCCGTGTGCAGCCGAAAGCGCTTTCACCACTTCCTCCCGGAAGCTGTTAGTTTGGGATTACGGGATTACGGTGGCACTAGAAACACAAATGAGTGGTTTAGCAAGGGTTCAGGTCCTTCCCAAAGAAGTTGTGGTGAAGTGGCCCATCGAAGCCGTGGCCCCAGGTGACGCAGTGGACACCGCCCACAAGCAGGACATGGCAACGATCCAGCACGACGTTGTAGACGCAGCCGGCGAAACTGGGCAACAGCATGGAGCCAGGCAGGCGGCAGGCCGGTCGCCACTCGCTGCCCACCCGCACGGGATGTCTGGGCGTCAGCTTCAACCCCGGCAGGACCACCAAGGGCTTGCCACAAGGCCGATCGATTTTCACCACGCAACGCACGGTCGCAAAGCCGTCAGCCACTCGCACCTCCTCTCCAGCACGCAGGTCGCGCAACTGCACAGACACCTCTGCCAGGCCTTCCGCGCCAGAACGCAGGACCTGCACCGTACTGGAGGGGTCGAAGCAGCCGCCGCCGGCACCGGCGTAGTAGGTGGTCATGTTCGGAGATGCAGGTGCCGGCGTAGCCTGCGAGCCCTGCGAGCAGCTGTTACGAGGAGCTCGAGGAGCTTCCTGCCGCTTGGGCGGCGGCAGCTCGAGGAAGATCCGATCGCCCACGTCCCTCAAGGAGCGGAACATGGCTCCGCCATAAACCTGCAGACCCGGATCCATGAAGTTGGTGCACATCTGCAGCTGGTGCGAGCGTGTGAGGGCACGGAGGTAGTGCTTACCCCAACGGTTGAAGCGCTGCTTTCCTTTGAGGGCCTTCGACATGCGGCCATCAACATCGCTCCGCAGGGCCAGCAGTCGGCCATCAGGAGGATCCGAGGGAGAACTTGAACTGGAAAGCCTTTGACTCTCTTTCTCGGCCTCTGCCAGGCGGCAGCTGAGTGCTGCCACTTGCTCACCCGCGGCTTTGCCCTCGCTGCCCATGGCCGAAGCAATGGCGGCGTGGCCTGTGCTGACGGCATCGGCCCGGGCTTCGGCCACCACAGCCTCAAGGTTGGCTTTCAATGTCAAGGATGTCAAGGCCTTGCCACTGACCTCTTCAAGACCTGACAAGGTGGGAATGCTGAGCACGGCCTCAAGGTACACCTGGCCTTCTTCGGGCTGGCTTTCGGGCTGGCCTTCGGGCTGGGGCAGCATCAGCCTTACCACGACGTCGCGGCTTTGGCCATACTGCAAAGGCCCCAGGTGGACAGCACGACCCCAACTTTCGTCGTTCTCCTTGAAGCAGCCCATGACAGGCCCAGCGAGCTGCGCTCCGTTCAGAGGCATGAGGCTCAGGGTGACGCTCTGAGAGAAGGTGCTGAGGACATTGGCGACACTGTTCACAAAGGTCGTGCCAACGATGACCGCATCCGGGATGAAGGCGTAGGTGCCATGACCTTCTTCCGCCAGCTCAAGCAAGAGCTCGCTGTCCAGATTGTACCCAAAGCCGAAGGTGTTCAGTTGGAAATGGAAGCCTGGATGTGTGTCCTTGTAATCGGCCAACTCTCGCAAATGTCCTCGTGGTGGCTTGATGTTGGGCTGACCATCGGTCAGGAGGAGGATGGCCTGATGTCGCTTTGAGCTGGCGGCCCCCTCGCGAAGAGCATCCATGGCAGCCTTCATGCCTCCCCAGATGTTCGTTTGGCCCCCCGGTCGCAAGCCATCAAGGGCCTCCAATGCCAGCTCCTGGCCACGATCGCACATGTCCGTGAGGGCCAACGCCGTTCGCTGCTTGTCGTCAAACGCCACTAGAGCCAGGCGATCTTGGGGGCCGAGCGCCTTGATCACCGTCTTCACCGCATGCTTCACGATGTCAAGCACCGACAAACCATCATCCTTCACGTTGCCATCTGCATCTTCGTATGTTGCCGTGCTCCCCATGGAACCAGAGACGTCCACCAGGCAGCAGACCTTAATAAGGGGGTGGTTACACCCTCAGCAGCGGCTTATGACATCCCTTCTGGACGTGCACTTCGGGAGGTCCTAGTAACCCCTGGGCCAGGGGTTGCTCCATGTTACAGTGTGCACCCTCACTGAGGTAGGCGAGAGCGACGTGCCCGAAAAAACTTTCAACCCAACATTCGGAACCACCATTCATCTGCGCGTGCTACAGTTGCTACAGCATGCGAGTACTGGATATCTGCACAAGGCAGCGACATCTGCCGGCTCCCGCTTCATGAGGTCGGCTACATCAGCACTGATCATGACCTTCACCTCACCCGCACAGGTTTGGTCTTTGCACGGCTCGATCTTCAGTTTCACCAGGTCCTGGTCACCAGTCGGCTCATCTTCGGACCAATCGTCGTCCTCTACGGCTCCGTTCACAGCTCCGTCGAGCTTCTCTAGAAGGTCGGGATGCATGGTCTGGGCCACTGGCTCCAAGCTTCTCTTCACATCCGACACTGACGGCACCTCTCTGCCGCAACGAAAGACCTGCTGGATCTCCCGCACCGGACCACGACAGATGGGACAGCAGCCGGAATGCTGCTGAACAGCCACGAGGCACTCCCTGCAGCCACACTGGTGCCCACACGGGCTCACAAGGAAGTCTGCCGGCTCATCGAAGCAGATCGAGCAGGAATGCTGGGAATGCTGGGAATGCTGCACTTCGGCCATCTTTTGCCCCGTCTCGAGATGGTCCAGGGCACGACAGATCTTCTGGAAGATGACCTGGGGCTCGAGCGTGGCGTCCAGCTTCCAGACCTCGGCTAAGGTGTCAAGGCAGAATGCAATGCAAGAAAACGCGGCAGCAAAACAAACCAGGGCATGGCTGAGCTTGAAACGCGGCCAGAGAAGAAGGGCAGCACCCGCCGGACGTGCGCCTTGAAGACCTCTGCGGCGGCCGTTTCTTCATGTTTATCTTGTTTTGAGGGGGTCCGGGCCCTTCTCTCCTAGCCCAGAGAAACACTTGAAAACTCATTGCAGCCCTGCTGTTATCACTGCTGTTGTCACTGCTGCACTGCGGTCCTCGATGCGTTGCCGGAAGGAGTGCTCATCATCGCGGTCGCGTGGGACCAGATGGGGTAGGATGTCCAAAGGCGGCTGGACAAACTCCAAGTGATAGATCTCCCCCGTGCGTGGATCGATTCGCCGTTGCGCGGCCCTCTGAATAAGGCTCTTCTCAGGCACCTGTAGAAAAAACACGCCCTCGACTCTAACCTGCTTGAGCAGCGCCTGCGCCTGATCCGTAGTGCGGGGGAAGCCATCCAGCAGGCAGCCACTTTCCCGCACATCCGACTGTTGCAGGCGATCTTGCACTAGGCTGACCACCATGTCGTCAGGCAC